TGGGCCTGGAGCTGCTGCTCCATCAGCCCCTATGTTAATCTGGCCCTGATCACCAGCTGCCTCTCTTCAGTCTTCAACTGGATGTCTTCCTGCTTTTTAAAACTTAAACTTTCTGAAACGTTACTTCTTATTTTAGCTCTGCAAAATACAAATTCTCCACTGACTCTTCCCCTGAAAGTTCATGGTACACCCACCAGACCATCCTTGCAAGCTTGCAGCCTTAGTTTTAGCCATGATTCTGGCCAATTCCACCTTAAAAATGTTGCCTTCATCTGCCCCTTTCTTATACAAGATGCTACTAAGGAGCTTATTTGTGTTCTTGAATTTTAATACATTGACTATTGTAATTATCTTCTTATTGGTCTTTCCAGAAACCAAACCATACTGCCTATCACAACTCGTGTGCCAATCGCTACATTGGATTCCAGTCGCCTTAAGGATTCAATTGAATTTATCTACATTTAACAGTGACTTTCTCCTGTCTCTGCTTTCTCCCCTGCAGCCAAAGCTTTCTACAGGTTTTCTCAAGAGCTGTCCCAATCCAATGGAACAGATTGCCTCCACCCAATACACTTTCCTTTAGTCTTCAGTCTTAAGCCATTTAAAACACATCTCTTTTTGCTAGCCTATTGTCTCACATGGTTATTGTCATTCCTTTAAATCTCTCTCTTACTCTTAACATAATCCTCTTCATTCTCTCACCTTCAAATTCTACGGCTCTCCCACATTCTCACTTTTTTTGTTGCTTTGCCCTTCTTGTATTATTATACTTCACATCTTCTAGATCCAGCATGTCAAACTCAAAGGCTAACATGGGCCAAATAAACGAGGTTTAAGTTTATGTGGGCCTCACCAAAAAATGTAACTTAAATTTTCATGGAACAACATTGTTGTTTCATGACTGCTGACCCCCAACACACATATATTTGTGTACGCGGTAATTAGAGGACGTACAATTAAAAGTATGTAGTTCGATAAGGACCAAAGTCGGTTGAGGTGTGCCGAAACCGACGAGAAGTCAGGCCTGCAAAAGAGGGCCCACCTGTTTTATTGATGTAAATAATAAAGGGTGAGGTGGGAGGGGAACTTCCAGATGGCGACGATAGGTAAGCTGGGGGTTAATGGGGAATTAAATAGGAAAATAACCCCTCCCACAAATTCAGGCATATGCCTTCCACTTGTGTACGGGGTAATTAGAGGACGTACAATTAAAAGTATGTAGTTCGATAAGGACCAAAGTCGGTTGAGGTGTGCCGAAACCGACGAGAGGTCAGGCCTGCAAAAGAGGGCAAAAATATAAGACAAGATTAATTTCACAATTAGCAATCAGTCACATTATAGAAAAGACAGTCTGATTTCTATCCTGCGTTAGGAATGTTCCTATTGTAAACCAATTTACCATATTTCTACTTATGTGTGTCGTAACACGCCCATTAGAGGCTGCTGTTGTATTGACATGGAATGAGTGGCCCGAGTAGAAGGAAGGATTAAGGCCTGGATGGAGTATTAAAGTAACAAATATCACAGTTATTAAAGATAGTAAGGTTAGTTAGGGACCTGGCTAACCTGGTCTTTAATTACGAGTACAAATTTTGAACCGGGCATAATTTAAAATTCCCAACTGATATGTTTTAGTATGAGGAGTAGACAATGTAACGATTGTTGATTTCCTGAATTCTTTATGCATGAGTGAAGGTCGAATGTTTCCGACAGCAAGATTCTTTCTTTTGGCCTCAAGAAATCGTAGAAAGCCAAGTAAGCTGCTGACTTAAGTTACTATGTTAGTAGGGTTATTACAGGGAGGCTTAACGGTTAATTTGAAAACTCACCCTAAGATTTACTGTTAATAGGGAGTGAATTGGATGATTTGTGGAGTTTTGATCTCTGACACTTGTCAGCGCCCTATTGAAAAAGAAAAGAAAGTGGGAGCTGTTTGGGTATATTGTCTACATGTAATGTTAAATTCCTGTAGGTATAGTTTCAATTGTATTGTAGGCTAGTTTCAAAGAGATGTGGCCAAAAATTGTGCAAACAACCATTTATAATTGGAACGCATTTATTATCTTGAATCATACACAATACTTACACATATCGTAAGCTGTAGAGTAAGTTTGTTTAGTATTAGTAGACAAACCAACCTGCGTAAAAAACGCTAACTTAAGGCATGATTAGACCTTTTTGAACTGCAGAGGATCTCTGGACTGAACGTTCTTTAAGCTCAACCGTTACGTTTAAGCAAGGCCGACTTCAGGACTTTAGGAGTGGCCAGGGCGGGGGATATTGCGGGGGACCTGGGATGACAGGATTAGAGTGTTTATTAAACATAGAACGTCACCTGGAGCTATTTCTTGTAACATGCTGTAAGGAGAGAGGAAAAGAAAAAAAATATATATGTTTTATCCATGCAAAACTTTGATGCCAATTGAAATATCCCATGTAGTAGAGCTACTAGTAGAGCTACTTGCTAACGAGTACTGATAGGCGAAGATATTGACAATACCGTGAGAGGTGAGGCCCTGCCATTTTCCCCGTGGCTGAGAAAGGCCCTACCTCTGATTTGGGCCATGTGGACTTGTACCTACTACGCGCAGCGGGGTGTTAACCTGTTGGTGGCGGCAAAGAGACAATACTTGTGGCTGTGACATGTGAGGCCCTACCCAAGACCTTCCAGAAGAATATGCGAGGTACTAACTCAGAGTTGGGCCGCTGGGTGGAACCTCAGTGTTGAGGTGAGTAGTTGGCCTCATGCAAAATTTATTTGACTTAGTTCAGAACTTCTTTCCCTTGGCAGGTTTGTTTCTTGTGGATGAGCGTTAACATAACCTTACATGTGTGAGTAACTGGATAGAACCACAGAGAAAAAGGACTGTAAAAGGCATCTGACGAAACTATCTGTTGTGATGCGAACCGAAGAATAGAATGAAATACCGTGACTAACAGTAGGGAAAATTGTGTGCTCTTAAGAGAGGAACCTGAAAAGGAGCTTTGATTGTGGTTTAAGCTTAAAGATGATATGTGTCATATAATAAATATCCTATAATCGTTTACTTGATAGGCTTGGGATCTGTATTATAAGATGCCTGTAGGTGTAACTTCTTAGACAGAAACAGATAGCAAAGTCAATCCTGATGGACTTCTTGAGCGTAAATAACATAGTGAAATGTATGTAATATTAAATAGCGTAACAAATGATTGAATGCGCATGGAGAACCTTGCGAATGTCAAGCGTGCAGAGACAAGTCCCTATTAGTTGTTAAAGATTTGAATTATATTCGTTTGGTCGTAATGAAGGCAGAGTGATGCCTCGATGTTTGATATGAAACAAGTGAAAATTCTGGTTTACCCTGTCTTTATTAGATATCTAATGCTTTAACCTGCATTGCCTTGTATAATTGACGTAGACGTGATAATTAAGCAATAGTATGAGTCAACGTATGATAATTTAGAACTCAATGTACTGAAATGCCCCTAATGTGCTGCCAAGTAATAAATAGTTATCTGTAATGAATAAATCTGGAAGCAGTCACTATATGTACCTAAGCGTATTCAGGACCTGACGATGGTCCAATACAAGGCCTAAATATGTACAACGTGTAAACGTAAAAGGCAGCGTGAAGCCCAATATACTTATTTAACTGAAAATATATGTAAGAAATAAAATGCCAGAAACAAATTGTTGGAGGAAACCGCTGATCTTGGTTTCTACTAAATTGATATGGGCACCTAGTGTATGTGGTATAATAGGATCACAAAGTGAGTGACAAGTTGGGGAAATATATATATTTGGGTATCATCCTTGTACTGCTATATCTAATTATCTAGTAGACCCTTAGCCCGTAAGTGATTGACGTATTGAAAGCATGGATTAGCCTTGTATGATAGTTCTGACATACTGTTTGTATTACTGTAAGGGTATATAAACTCACAATCAAAACTAAAGCTATAACGAGGCGGGAAATAATCCGCTAGGATACCTGATCTGATCGGATATAAAACATAGTGAGTATGTACGACGGGGTCTGCAGGTGCCCCCCCCCAAGTACTACATGTGTGTGTGCTGGCTGACTAGCTAGTGCCGCAATGCGGCGAAACAATTACTCTGGTTGGTGACAGGTGAGGCCCTGCTAATTGCCAAGCGGCTTGAGAGGCTCTATCTATGCATTGGCGCGAAGGGATAGCGTGGCCACTGAACGTTGTGGCGGGGTGTCGGCCTCTCGGTGACAGTTAAACATAAGAGAGAATGGGAGTGACAGGTGAGCCCCTCTCTATGCCACAATGCGAGGCAACTAACTATGATTTGGCCCGAGGGGTGTAGTACCTCCGAGTAATAGGATGAGTGTTGGCCTCGCGGGACCACTAACCTAAGGCGAAGAAGCCAGGGGGACAGGGCCGCCATCAGAAATGTTGGGGCCCCTGACAAAGCACAAGGTCTGGGCCCCCCCTCACTCCCGGGCCCGCCCACGCTCTACCTGGTCCGCTGACAATGATGCAGGACTGAATGTGGTGTGTATAGTGGAAGTGAATTAGAATATGTGTAATGGATGTAGTGTTTGTGTGTATTAGATACTGTTTGTACAGTGAATGCAAAGTGTGTGTTTGTGTAGCGGATGCAGTGTGTATAGTGAACGCAGAGTGTGTTTGAGTAGTGGATATACTGTGTACAGTGATGTAGTGTGTGTGTTTGTGTAGTGGATGTAGTGTTTGTATGTACTAGATGAAATGTGTTTAGTGGGTGCAGTGTCTGTAGTGGATGTAGTGCATGTATTAGACGCAGTGTCTGTGTATAGTGAATGCAGAGTGTTTCAATGTGTGGTGGATGTAGTGTGTACTGTGAATACAGGATGTTTGTGTAGTGGATGCTGTGTGTACAGTTAATGCAGAGTGTATGTTAGTGTAGTGAATGCAGAGTGTGTGTCAGTATAGTGAATCCAGAGTGTATGCATAGTTTAGTGAATGCAGAGTGTGTTAGTGTGTAGTGAATGCAGAGTGTGTTAGTGTGTAGTGAATGCAGAGTGTGTCAGTGTAATGAATGTAGTGTGTGTGTTAGTGCAGTGAATGCAGAGTGTGTGTAAATTTGTAGTGAATGCAGAGTGTGTGTAAATTTGTAGTGAATGCAGAGTGTGTGTTAATGTGTAGTGAATGCAGAGTGTGTGTTAGTGTAGTGAATGCAGAATGTGTTAATGTGTAGTGAATGCAGAGAGTGTGTTAGTGTGTAGCAGATGCAGAGTGTGTGTAAGTGTAGTGAATGCAGAGAGTGTGTTAATGTGTAGTGAATGCAGAGAGTGTGTTAGTGTGTAGCAGATGCAGAGTGTGTGTTAGTGTAGTGAATGCAGAGAGTGTGTTAGTGTGTAGCGGATGCAGAATGTGTGAGTTAGTGTAGTGAATGCAGAGAGTGTGTTAGTGTGTAGCGGATGCAGAGTATGTGTTAGTGTAGTAAATGCAGAGAGTGTGTTAGTGTGTAGCGGATGCAGAGTGTGTGTTAGTGTGTAGCGGATGCAGAGTGTGTGTTAGTGTAGTGAATGCAGAGAGTGTGTTAATGTGTAGTGAATGCAGAGAGTGTGTTAGTGTGTAGCGGATGCAGAGTGTGTGTGTTAGTGTAGTGAATGCAGAGTGTGTTAATGTGTAGTGAATGCAGAGAGTGGGTTAGTGTGTAGTGGATGCAGAGTGTGTGTTAGTGTAGTGAATGCAGAGAGTGTGTTAGTGTGTGGCGGATGCAGAGTGTGTGTTAATGTGTAGCGGATGCAGAGTGTGTGCTAGTGTAGCGGATGCAGAGTGTGTCTTAGTGTAGTGAATGCAGAGTGTGTTAATGTGTAGTGAAACAGAGTGTGTGTCAGTATAGTGGATGCAGTGAGTGTGTTAGTGTGTAGTGTATACAGAGTGTATGTTGTATTAGTGTATGCAGTGTGTGTGTTAGTATATGCAGCGTGTGTGCTGTATTAGTGTATGCAGAGTGTGTGTTGTGTTAGTGTATGCAGTGTGTGTGTTTTGTTAGTGTATGCAGTGTGTGTGTTAGTGTATGCAGCGTGTGTGCTGTATTAGTGTATGCAGAGTGTGTGTTGTGTTAGTGTATGCAGTGTGTGTGTTTTGTTAGTGTATGCAGTGTGTGTGTGTTGTATTGGTGTATGCAGTGTGTGTTTGTTGTGTTAGTGTATGCAGTGTGTGTGTTGTATTGGTGTATGAAG